TAAGACGTATCTCCGATTCCGATTTTGGTGGCGCGTTCACCCAGAGCATCCGGAGCTCTGTTCCATGGAGCCTAGCAAACTCCACGTGACCGTCCATGTTGTCTGTGTCTGTAACCGCAACTCAAGCAAGTTTTCCAGCCTACACCACTGCCATCTCGGTGTAAGTAAACAATCTTTAAATCTACCGCTAAGCGTTTGTGCCTAATTCCAGCTCGTCGCCCTCCCTCTCCGATCCAGCGTGCCCGGGTTGCTGGCCACAGCCCGCATGCAGCACGAAAAAGGGCTCGGGTCGCTCCCGGCCCGCACACCACGGAGCCTAGCAAACTTCGTGTGAGTGTATCCAGAGCTCTTTTCTCCGAGTTGTTTTCTTCGGTTGACACGACGGGCTCGCGTGTTTAGAGCCTTCAACCGGATTGGGCTAGAGGTTCACGTGGAAGGAACTCTTGTCCGCCTCTCTTCTTTTCTGTCTGTAACTGCAACTCAAGCAAGTTTTCCTGCCTGCACCGTGACCATCTTCGGTGTAAGTAAAATAATCTTTAATCAACCGCTAAGCGTCCGTGCCTAATTCTAGTCCGCCGGCCTGTATTCCCCGACCCGCGTGCCAGGGCTGCTGGCCACAGCCTGTGCTGCATGCCCCTGAGGGCCTCGGACCGCTCCCGGCCCGCACACTGACATTCTAAGCTGTCTCTACTTCATTTGAAATCAGTGATTTGCAGCCACTCAGCACCTTACATTATTGTATTTATTCAGCATATATTTGTATTAGTCAGCAAAATATGCCATATTATATTAGGTCCAATGTTTGAGAGTACTTGAGTTCCTTGGTAAATGTTTGGAGAATGAGCCCATAGAGATATACCTATTTCTTGAGACCTGAAACTTATTACTAGATTCAGTGGAAAAATGAGGCCAAATGGTAGAACTACAGGGAAAAATATTCTATGTGGAAAATTTTCATTTTTGGTCAAATATGAAAATAAACCTAATCGCATTTTCCAGGAAATTGCAGGTAGTTTTATCATTAGGCAGGCTTTATAAATTGTAAATTTAAAATAAATTTTCAAACATTGTAGTGGGAGAGTTTCTCCAACTAGTAGCAGAACTAGAGGTGGGCAACTAGTACATCAGCCCTGGGTGCCCAATTAGTAGAGGCAGAAGAAAAGCTGTGGCTGCAGGTGCTGGCAGCCCAGCCACTACTGCTGCCCAAGGGACAGAACCTGGTTGTTAAGCCTCTGTCTCCTCCATAAATGTATGTGTTTCCATAAATCATTTAGCCTAGGCTCACTCTGTTTTAGGAGTTTTTCACAAATGTTTGACTGGCCAGAAGAAGACTGCAGCTGCTCCCAGTCAAATTGCTGGAGCTACTTGCCGGTTCCCTTAGTTTATCATTTGGCATTTACTGCAACCACCTCATGTCTTGTACATGTATTTTCATTTGCGTCAAATGGGTATAACATACTACTAGATCAAAACAATAAGTACTGAAGGCATCCTGTTTATCTTTGCTTTGGACAATGCGAATGGTTGCATAAGCTATCAGGCCCCATACTGTCTTTGAGGGCTGGAAAGATTAATCCCTAGCCCATCTTATACTGAGGGAATTTGGAGATTTGCCATTGACTTCAATGGATAATGGGAACAGAATTATTTTTTTTAGCAACACTATGTTCAGAAATCATTCTTCTTTAATTCTAGTCAACACGCTGTGTACATGAATTAATGCTCTACTGAAAATTGCTGCCAAGGCACATGTGGCAAGTTTTAAAATGGTAGTACAGTGCGGATAAAAATAAGAATGCAATGGCTAGATTTTTCTGGGAAGAATTTGCACATGCCATGTTGCTATCTGTCACCCAGTCTGCTGGTCTGCATTAGACACAGAGCAAGACCCTCATGGAACAAGGGGTTTGCTGGGAAGATAGAGGCATAGCTCCTGGATCTTGTGAGGCCATGCAGAACTTAATACAGGTAGCATGCCAGTTCTAAGTTGTAGCCCATGCATAAATTAAGTCAGATAATGGTAAACCCATTCCTGTGAGTCCGTGCATGGATTAGTTTGGCCAGATGACATTATATTAGGTTATTTTTCATTTTAATAATATGGGTGTGAAGGGAGCTCTGAGGTAAAACTCACCCTGTGTAGTAACCAAGGGCTGCTGAAGTGAACCCTGTTGCTGTTACAACATTGCCTGTCCAGAGGCAATATTTTTTGCAAGGCAAACTCATCGGACACATTCCCACAAGTGTGCATATGCATTTACCTGGGGACAAACAGCAGTGGTGCATAGTTGTGTTACTGTTCCTTGTCCCTAGGGAATGCCCCAGCATGCACACATGAGCACACAGCAAGTTGCCCTGGGTAGGGTAGGAGAAGCTGGGTCCAGCACCTGGGCTGGCCACAGCAGCCTTACTTGGGGTCCCAGAGGCCTTCTGGGCCTTCAAGCAGTGGCAATCTGGGCCTGCAGAGTCTGGTCGGCAGCTGGAGCCTAGCTCTGGCTGGCCAGGCTGTGGTTTTGGGCTATGCATGCTATATCCATGTGTGCCACCCTGCTTTTTGGGGGGGCTTTTTTTTAGATACCAGGATTTCCCAATATCACATTTGGCTTTGCACTACAAATACGCAGCACAGAGAACCTTTTGACAGGTGCCATGTACATTTTGCAGAATCTCAACAGTCTTTGAGGTTCTGCAAAATGCATGTTCCTGCTTGTCTGGACCACCCATAGGTTTTATATAAAAATATATATTTTGAGAATATAAAGGGACAAAAGAATCCTATTTTTAAAATGAAAGCTTGGATTCTTTAGTTAATGGATAGTACTCTCGAACATGGAGAGAGCTATGATGGCTTGTGATTTTTCAATAATCTTCAAAAATTGTCTTCTAGAACAGAAATTGCTATTGGTTATACATGTACTAGCCGTCTTGCTGCTGCCATATCGCACAAAAAAATCTTGCTCCAAAATACAGCTGCCGAATGAAATGAAAGGAAAGAAAATGGAGAGAGAGGTTGAGTGCGCTCAGTCTACTACATCCCAGTAGACATATGCAGTTCTTAAATGTTGATTGCTTCTCCTACTTCTTGTCATCTTGGTTAGATATAACCATACAAAGTATCTCTAGAACAGTGGTTTTCAGCCTGTGGTCCATGGACCCCTGAGGGTCCACAGACTATGTCTAAGGGGGTCTGCAAAAGATCACTATGATCAGTCAACAGTATGTGAATACCTACCCTTACAATTCAAAGGGGTCTGTGCTTCTATTTAAATTTTTTTAGGCATCCACAAATGAAAGAAGGTTGAAAACCACTGCTCTAGAATAAGCAGTGAAACAATTTGTGTATGTATAATCATTTGCACACATGCATTGGGATCAATACATTGTGGAATCAGAATCAATAATTTCACAAAACCAACGATATCAGGTCTTTTTAACACAAATGTGCTTAGTAGCCTAGGTGAGAGGTGTTCTTTATT